TGAGTAGTCCTCGACTTACGACCGGTTGGGGGGTCGCGGCATTAAAAAGGTTGAGAACCACTGGTTTAGGGAGCTTTGGGTAGTGATCCAGCTTCAGAAGATTTTGCTTTCTTCATTAAAATGGCCTGATATAGGCAATTTGGATACAACATCTGCTTTTTCAAAGGTTAATTTTCTGGAACAGGAAGTGATTTGAGGTGCTTCAAATCCTCTAAGACACTTAGATCCTTTTGCAGGTATTGCTGCCTAATATCTCCCTTCCTATACTCATGTTTTTTTTTTACTCAAATAAAGGACTTTGCATTTCCTCTTCAAATTGGTATCATTGTTTTTACCCATTATTTTAGTTATGAAGATTCTTCTGAATCTTGGTATTTATCCTCCATTTTAATGCAAGACCCCAGGGCTATTTAATAGTAATTTTGAAACTAGTAACTTTGTGCCAAAATTTTTAAGCAAATTTTATCAGCTTCAAAATTGTACAAAACATTTCAGTGGCTATATTTCAAAAATGCTTTAAGCCATTTGCTCCTTTGTCAATTTTAAGATGACTGACCACAAGGTCAAGGCCATGGTGAAGAAAAACATCATTCTATCCTTTGATGGCTTCAAGGACTGTTAGGACAAATGTCTTTGTTTTTGTCCCTGACAAAGACACTGACAACTGGAATCCAAATTCTGTTTATCAATCTGGATCCATACAAATTCATTCAACAAAAACAGAATGTTAGTACAGTTGTCAAAAATGTACAAAATGCCAACTGCCTGTAACTGAAGCAACCAGTAATTTCTAACAAGATGATGTTCTTTCTTTATACTATTCATAGAGTACAAAATGCTCTAATCCTAACATTTTCCAATATTTAATATTCATCTTCACAGTAAATAATGGAACTCATTGGAAATATTTAATTATATATGTGATCATGTGAATATAAAAGAAACGTGATACACCCAGGGGAGATAAAGCATAAAAGGCATTGCTTACAGCTAAAACCATAAAGTGCTAGATATTTCTGTGATTTGTCACTTCTGCATTAGCCACTGATTCAAAACACTTATGATAAAAGCTACCGTAATAATAAGAATGCCGTGAACTAAAAAAGAAGCCATTACCATTGAATAAATAATAGGCAGGAGAAAAATTGTTTTAAACTTGTGTTGTTAAGATAGAACGCTTATGCTTGTGAGTAAATTGCTGAAATAACTTTCTTTTTTAATAGATGTCATTTTATCAAAGCAAAGGAGAAATTATCCTGTTTTTAAAAGTTTAAATAAAAAGGTTTTTTATTTAAAAAAACCTGACATATTGAATCTGATATTTGAAAAATCTAAGTGGTAGTGGCAGAGAATTGAGGTTGTTTTCAGCTTTTCTGATACTATCTTTCACTAGTGTATTAAACTTTTATTTTAGCACTAACAATGATGATATTACCTAGTTTGGGTAATAAAACATCTGCAGGAAAACAGCTAAACTCAGAAGGAACCAAGGATCCCTCATTTCAACCCTGAGCTACAAGTATTCTCCTTTATTGATATTTTAATAAACTAGAGCATAAATAGTGTTCATGAATTACCAATAAACAAACTATAAACAAACATTAAAAATGAATAAGCATTTAATTTATGAAGATTTTTATTGCTGTTCATGGTTTTTTAAAAGTTCATTTTAAATAGATCTGAAAAGGAAATTATAGGACATAGCAATACTTGAGACAGCAGAATAGAAGAGAAAGAACTGGAGAAAATTATAAAATATAAAGTCTGCAAATATAAGTAGAAGGCCTGTGGCAAAAGAAAGCAATAATAATAAGCATCTTGGGTGCAATCCCAAAACATCTGGAGTACCACTTGAACACCATCAACATTGACAAATTTACCATCATTCAACTGCAAAAGGCAAAAGGGTACTTTTAACACCATCAAACAACAAAAGTTGCCTATTCAAGATCCTTGGCAAGGACTTAATGGATAAAAATTTCAAATCCAGTCAAAACATCTGGCTGAATGTATGATTAACTATAATAATCTAAATAGGCTTTATTTGCTGAAGACAACAAGAAACATGGTTATTTAGCATCTCTTTTTAAGTATTTATGGTTAGGCATAATAAACAGCCATTATCTGCTGGATGTAAAATGTAAATAAGAAATTTCACAAACAACTTGATATAAACTTTTTTTTATTTACATATGACAGATTTTTTTCTGTCCAGAATTTATTATGGCCCATACTGCATAATAGGTCCCAGTTTTAACAGTTCTTTTTGTTTATACTGACGGAGAGAAGGGGTGGGGGGAGGGAGGGAGGGAGGGAGGGAAGGAGGGAGAGGGAGAGAGAGAGAGAGAGAGAGAGAGAGAGAGAGAGAGAGAGAGAGAGAGAGAGATTCAAAGTAGTTGCAGGATTAGTCTACAATGTGGACATAGTTAAAAGTGGTTGGTGACTATACACATATGGCTGGAACAACCAAGTTTTATACAGCTGAGCAAATGGGTCTCCATAAGCTAGTTTTTAAAATAGCTCTATTTGTGGCATTTTTCCCCTCCCCATTCTACTGCACCTCATCCCATCCCGCAAGTAAGTGGCTGTTACTGGGTGATGAAGGGAGCTAGGGATTGTGAGACTGGCTGGGAAAGTGTCATGGGATGTTGAAACTGAAGATCATGTGACCCCAGTAGCAGTCAGTACCACTGAAGAAGCTACAACTTCCTCAAATTTCATTACTTCATGAGTTATGGTCCTGGATATTGCACACATTCTGTTGTTTTCTCCAGAAGGAGAAGAATCTCCCTTATTTAGAAAAATAACTTTCAATCTAATAGAATGAAAGCCTGATGGTAAAATTCCATGTCTGCAGCTATTTCTTGAAATGAATGAATGAATATTTGATAAAATCATTGATTATAAAAAAAGAAAAACATGTCACTTTTCTAATAAATTCAGGTTGTCTTCATCTATTAGCACAACTGAGTTCAAACTTTCTGTGAGATATTTCTTAAGTGAATTTTGCCCCATTGTACAACCTTTCTTGCCACAGTTATTAAGTGAATCACTGCAGTTGTTAAGTTAGTGACACGGTTGGTAAATGAATCTGGCTTCTCCATTGACTTTGCTTGTCAGAAGGTTGCAAAAGGTGATCACATGACCCCAGTATACTGCAACCATCATAAATATGAGTCAGTTGCCAAGCGTCTGAATTTTGATCACATGACCATAAGGTTGCTGCAACAGTCCTAAATGTGAAAAACAGTCATAACTCACTTTTCTCAGTGCCATTATAACTTTGAACAGTCACTATCCGAACTGTTGTAAGTCAAGGACTACCTGTAGAGAAACTTTATATATCTGTGTGCACTTTCAATGAATTTGAACAAATATTTCCTGGGAGATCTTGCATGCATCAGGTAATTAATAACATATCTCACACATGTCAAACTCGAAAAGTCACATGATGTCGTGCAATGTATTGGGACAGTTTTGCCATTGCCAGCAATGGGGTGGGTGTGGCTTCCGGATGAGGCATCCGGCCTGTGGGTCAGTAGTTTGACACCCCTGATGTATCTAAAACACACCTGCTAGCCCTGAATAATCTTCTAAAAAAAGAGGGCAGGTAAACTTGAGTAATATCTCTATAATTGCAGTATAACAAGTGGTATACTGTTGTTTCCAAACTGCCTGCTTTATATACAGCATACATATTTTTTGTGTATCTTCCAGCGTTGCTGCATATATTGCATTTAATTAGGGTAGGGTTATAACTCTGTGATCATTTGGAGTTATCCTATTTAAATTTCTTTCTGATTTCATGTTGTTTAGTTTCATCCACTTAGTCCTACTTATTGGTCCACATTAAATGTTTTCTTTGTCTAATTGCTGTCCTTGCCTATTTGGAACCTATTTGTATGAGAAATGCTAAAGAGATGCAACATTTTTTCAATGAGTACCTCCAGTGACGGAAGATCAGACAATTCTAATGTGTCTTATTCCGGGAAAACATTTCTTGGAATATATTATTTTATTTAAAGGAGACAATATCATAGCACAAGGTTGGAATAAATTTCTGAATTCCATTTTTCAGATGGGGCATGGAGGGGCTTTACCCCAGTTACCTATTTATTTAATATTCAATTTTCCAAACACCAAGTACGTTTCACAAGCTGAATACCTTATTTTCATAGGCAAATACTTGAGAATTCTTGATTAGTCATATATTTTCCTGGGCAGTAGCAGACACTAAGATATGAAACATGTTTTATTGTAGTACATTGATTAGTAGAACTGGTTCATTTTTAAAAAAAATATATTATTAGGAATATTTAGGAAGGGCTGATTTGTTTTACACATGCTGGTACATTACATCCAAAATCAAATTTTGGATGGTTAAATTTTATGAGACCATTATTTCTATAAACATACAACTGAATTAGATGTAAAGCAAATTCATGTGTTAACTAAAGGGCTTAGGGCTCAAGAGATAAATTTTCAAAGGTCTCAGGAATCTACAGTAAGTTGTAATATTACTATTTTTATTTATGTTCCATTTAAATTTATTTATTATTGAAAATATTTATATGACTGCCCATCTTAAGCAACTCTGGATTTGTCACAGCAACAATGAAACCAATAAATAAAATAATAATAAAAAAGTAATTTTTTTAAAAAAAACTCTTAACTTTAATCATTCCCTTGGAATGCACCACAGCAGGCTCAGCTGCCCTCCTTCCTATGCTATCTACCTATGAATTATAAACCACTATAGTAAACTACAAAAGCTTGAACAAGCTGTAAATGTTGATAATTTGACTCTTTCTGTAAAATATATTTCTTTTGATCAATTAGTTATTGAATTGAATTGAATACTTTATTTGGTTGTGATTAGGCACATAAGGTATTGTTCTCCAGTACAGAATGAATGTGGATAACCCAGAAACACAGGTTCCCCAATATTTATTAGTTTCTTTCTAATGAAGCAGTCTGCAAAATATGGTTATGGATATGACAGCTGTATGATCAATTTTGTCTTATGATTCATAATTGGGTTTTTTTTTGTCACTATCTTCTTAGCGGATTCTAAGAATGCTTTTTAAATCCTGTACTCATTTGCTTTCAGCTCTTTGCATGCTGCTAGGCTTCTGTGCAATAAGTCAGACCCCAGTTGAGGTATTCACTGCTGTTGTTGACATCTGTGGGATGAGATATAGTAGTACATTATTCTCCTCCTTTTTTCAAGGATTATCCCTCATGGGTGAAATGATTGTATTTTTGGATTAGATACCTTAGGAAGGAAATATTGCATACTTTGTAGCTACCATTACAAGATGTCCTTCTAAATATAACTACCATTCTTTTGTTTAGCTGTAAATAGTAATGATTTAGTTGCATATATTTAGTTGCCATGTCAAGGAAGAATAAAATTTAAAATAATAAAACCAAATTATTCATAGGTAGGCTAACTAATGAGAAAACACAGTATTGGTTCTGACTAAGAGACATGAATAAAAATATAAATAAAGAATGGAAGCTTATAGTTTGCATATATCATTGAGGTTACAAAGTATGACCCAGCTGCACCACATATTTGCACCAATTGCTATGAGTGCATGAACGTGTTGTACTTCAGCATGAATATCAGTTTCTTTCTAATAGCTACAGTGTCTGTTCACTATGGGGCAAGGACGGAAAGGGGGGTTATCTTACATTGTGAGAAAACAATATGCTGTGATAAATAAGCAAATAGCTAGAGACCTCTTATGAATGTCTTCTCATCTTCACATGGACATCTCTGAATTTATAGACATGGATGTCTATAAATCACAGTAGTCAGACAAGGGGAAAAAGGACTCATTCCTGCTATTTGCATTTTTAACCTTTATGTGGTACCCATGGCAGCTTTTACCTTTTTGTTCCTTCTGTTCTCTTTTCTTGCTCACAAAAGATGGGATTCATTTTTTTCCTGTTTCTGTCTTTTCTTAATGCAACTTTCCATTCATTGCCATCCTAACTGTTTTTTCCTCTATTTCTGAGGAAGGAAGGAAGAAGTATATAAGTCTCATAAATAAACAAACAAATAAATAAATATTAGGAGGTGAGAAGTGGGTTAATGTTATAATCTGGTCAGTTTATTGTAAAGCCAATTAACTTTAATCAATAGTTTTTAATTCAATTGTTTTATTTAGCCCATCTTTGCTCCTTTTTGTGGTTTATGGCTGGTATATAGTATATGCATAGATACATAGATGAGTTTATTCAGTGGAGTGGAGAATCACTTGACTTTTTTTTCACTTTGTATTGCAACCCAGGTTGTTTTATGACAGGTATAGATTTATGCATACATATATGAGCCCAGTTCTTGCATTGGATAAATCTGATATTGTAAAAATAGCCGATATTCCTTCCTGTTCCCTTATTTCACCTTTTCCATCTGTGCCTCCTTTAGGGCTTGCTGAATAAATATAGATTGCAAGACTAGCTGTAAGGTTGCTCATAGAACTTCCAAAACTTAAAAAAGTTCACGTTTTAAACAGAAAAAATTAAAAAGTGCTATTATTATAGTGTGGTAAAAGGAGAAAGGATAATGGAGAAGAGTGCCAGTAGGAGGAAAGTGGGAAAATGGGGTGAAATTGTTAGAACTGCATATAGGGCCCTCAAAATATATCTTTGTTAGCCTTTGCTATTCTGGTATCACCACCATCAAACTTAAAGCTAAATATTTTTGTAGTACAACAATACAACAGAAAAGTAATATATTCATTTGCTTTCCCTGACATTGTTAGAGAGATAGATCTGATTCATTTGTTTCTAGAGAGGAAGACATTTTTAATTTGCAAAAAAAAAATTAATTTGAACTTTGAAGATACCACTTTCCATCTGGGTTGTTTAGATCAGCTTAATTAACTCATCGTCCTGTTCTCCATTCCTCTCCTGGTTCTCCATATTGTTATTGGGAGTGCTCACAAATATAGCAAGACATTTAGAATTGGAAGCAAGGGGAGATATAGCTATTATAAAATAAAGCAAGGCAGATTCATAGCAGTGTGTACATGTAACATCATGAATGGAAGAAAAAGATAAAAATAGGAGAGAATCACTGGAAATTTTAGCAATGCCTGAAAAGGCAAAAGTATTGAGTAGGGAAATAAGAATGTGTTATCACTCAGTAGCTGACCTCATGCTTGACATAGATAAGATTCCAGACTCCATCTGTAGCTTTTCAAGTTGTTGTTTTGAAGTACTCAGCTAGCAGATAATAACAAAGAAAATTCTGTGATAATCTGGAATCCTACCATCAATCAGATATTGGCTAAATGAAGTGCAACTTGAAGCTGCTCCATAGTTCAAGAATGGGAATTAGCTCTTTCTTGACTCTTTATTCTTAAGGCTATTTTCTTGTGGTCACAATTAAGAAATAGTCTTTGATATTGAACCTCAGTCATGTTTTATATTTGCTTCCACACAACTGTACTACTTTTTATCTCTCCTCTTCTGAACTATGATATTCTGGAATGTGATTTTCAAAATGCAATTTACTAACCCAGGAAGGATGCCTTTTAAAATCAGTCTAGTTGTGATCTAATCTGGGATATATTTTCCCTTTCAAAATGCTGAAATGGAGTATACTTTATCCATTCTCTATGCCTCCTGCTTCTTGCAACATATATATTGGGACAGAAAAGGCTGCCTGTTATTTTTAAATATTTAGAACAAAGATGAACAGCTGCTCCCCTAATTTTATAGCGGCTTTTTAAAAGCCTTCACATTGATTCCTCAGACCCCCATTAACTTGCATTGAGAACAGATTCTTAAGCAAAAGATTTCTCCTTTCTGAAGTATTTTTCCAGTAACCTTATAATATTTCAAAACATGTTAACTCCCATGTCAAATATCTATTCCATTATATCTAGATTTCTAGTCTTTCAGCCTGACAAGGGATTTGTGTACCGAATTCAGCACTTAGGATTTGAAGGGAAAAGGTGATTCAGAGCCTATGGAATACTCCTTAAAGCAGCTGTGATTTTTCCTGCAGTGTGACCCTGAGAAAAGATGCATTTGGTTTAAGTACTTGCCAACAGGTGCCCAAGGCATGCCTTTGCCTATTCTGAAACATTTTTCCCTTTGATAGAAAGCCCAGCCCAGCCCACACAGAGTGCATTCCATTTAGCAGTCTCCTTCTGGGGATAAATTTCCAATCTGTATATTTTCATTCCAAGATCTTTATTTAAAATATACAGCAAGAAAAAAAACACCTTTTAAAACCCTGGTACATTTAAAACAGCTCTAGGCAGTTTGAAGCTCTTTTTGCAATGTCTATAAGGCTGTGATAAAGTTTAATAGATAAGTTCCATCCACCAAGAATTTAGACCTTTAAAATCAAATACTCTGTGGGATTCAGATCTCTCTCTCAGGGCTGTGATAACTGTGGATCGGCAAATCCAATAAACTCATTCTCAGATTCATTGTTGTTTAGGTTTCAATAGAAGATATTTTTTTAAAAAAGTAGTATGTACTATAGGTAAACAAAAGGTAAAAAGCATATTTCTCCTACTTTTGCAGTTGAGAATTGAGAGTTCTATGTATTGTGGGAACCCCAAAGAGCATTTCTTGTTTACTACAAAACAGGGTACTACAAAACTATGTGACGGTGCAGAGAAAGTCCAGGGGAGATATCAAGAACTTTTAGTTACATTGTTACGATAAATCCATATTTTGCAAAGTTTCATTGTATTGTTTTCATTTTTCATTTGTATTTATTTTAGTATTTGCATTTTTAGTGGAAGTATATATATATTAAAATTTCACAAAAGAGAGATGTGATAGCAAAAAGAGAACTCTTGCTATAAAAATTATAGTTCTTATAGTTCTTGCTATTTAAATTACCAAGGAATAAAAGAGGATTGTACATTTCATATCATCCTTTTTTCTTCATTATGAGTTTAGATCCCTAAAGAAATAACAGCTATCACCATATCATATCACAATATTCTAAAACTAGTAACTTCCAAGAATATTTGAGTTCTTGCTACAGAAGCAGTCTATGATTACATTATTGAAATAATCTTTGTTGAATTCATATATTATCTGTCTGTAATAATACAAAAAATGATTTGTGGATTACAAAGTTAAATTGAAGAGCAGAGAATAAAAAATCTCTACCAGTTATCAGTCTAAAGCATATTCTTGACATCTTGAAATATGATTGTATGATAACATCATATGTATGAGATAATATACAATTGTAATTTGAAAACATCACAATATATTTTCTCATAGCTTGCAGAGAGCTAATCTGTATTATGATCACAACATGATCTGTTTAAAAGATTTGGAGAATCAGAAAGAACACATATATAAAACTAGTACATGTTAAATAATCCCAGTTCTATTCTTACATAAATATGAGTTTGATCTTTTATTAACTGAACTATATTTTTGTTTAAAATTAGTCAAGCTCTTTGTTAGGTTGTTCTTGATACTATTCTTATATTCTTGTTTTATAAAGATTTTGGAGATTCCTTGCAATTAGACAAAGCAATATTAGGCTTTGTTATTATTCAGTCTTTATATCAATTCCCAGAAAAATATTATGACCTTATGTGCTTTGTCAACATGATGCAAAATACTCACTGGGTAATTATACCTTATCCATCATTTCATTTTCATTCTACTCAATGTTTTCTCATATTTTTGCTAGGTGTCCATTTGAGCTAGCATGTAGAGGCAGCAATAAGCCGGATGAAAACTGAAAAACTGAATTTTTACCTGTACACAATAAAGTGCTTTTTTATTGTCTGAATTAATATTTTCTTTGGTAATATTATTACAAGAGTGCACTTTACAAGATTTTCCTTAAAAATGCATTTGGTTAATTTCTAATGAGGCCTAAAACTGTTATAAGGTGTTCATGTGTAGGGTCTGTAGCCACGGAATTTTTCTACTAGATTGTACTAGGTTATAATTTTGCATTTGATGTAATATTAAAAGCATCCTTGTCATTTGTGTAATAGGTCCTAAGTGGCACATGCCATTTTGATTGCAATAATTATCTGCAATTAATATTGATATTCATTAATATAAGGTTAATCATGTAAGTACACCAAAGTGGGCAATTTTGTTCTGCAGGAGAGTCATTTGTATTTTTATTTCTGATGCTAAGTGTAAATGATGTATATTTCTTGAATTGCCATGCAATTCAAGTTTTTGTCAACATGATGTAAAAAAGATGTTGAGACTCTATAAAGACTACGAAGAGCAACAAAGGTGATTAGGGGACTGGAGGCTAATGCATATAAGGAAAGGTTGCTTGAATTGAGTATGACTAGTTTAATGAAGAGAAGGATGAGGGGGACATGATAGCAGTGTTCCAATATCTCATGGGCTGCCACAAAGAAGAGGGAGTCAAGCTATTTTCCAAGGCACCTGAAGGCAGGACAAGAAGTAACAGATGGGAACTAATCAAGGAGAGAAGCAACCTAGAACTAAGGAGAAATTTCCTGACAGTTAGAACAATTAACCAGTGGAACAACCTGCCTCCAGAAGTAGTGAATGCTCCAACACTGGAAGTTTTTAAGAAGAGATTGGACAGCCATTTGTCCGAAATGGTATAGAGTTTCCTGCCTGAGCAGGGGGTTGGACTAGATAATCTCCAAGGTCCCTTCCAACTTTTATTATTATTATTATTATTATTATTATTATTTATTATTATTATTATTAATCATCGCACAGTCAGCCAGATGTTCAGACTGGATTTGGCATTTTGTCTACCTATCGAGTCCTTACCCAGGACCTGGGATAGGCAGATGTGGATGTTTGATGGTATTACAGATATCGTCGCAGGATGGAAGCAGTTCCTAGTAAGGCCGCCATTTGCAATTGACTAATAGCGAATTTGTCAATGCCAATGGTGTTCAAGTGGTGCTCCAGTTGTTTTGGGATTGCACCCAAGGAGCCTATTACTATTGGTACTACCCTTGCTTGCTTTTGCCACAGTCTTTCTATTTCTATTTGTAGGTCTTTGTATTTTGTTATCTTCTCCAGTTCTTTCTCTTCTATTCTGCTGTCTCCAGGCACTGCCACGTCCACTATCCAGACTTTTTTGTCTTTCTTATCGACAATTGTTAAGTCTGGGGTGTTATGTTGCAGGTGCTTGTCTGTTTGAATTCTGAAGTCCCAGAGCAGTTTAATTTTATCATTTTCTATGACTTTCTCTATTTTATGATCCCACCAGTTTTTGCTTACAGGCAAATGATATTTTTTGCAGATCTTCCAATGAACCATTGTTGCTACTTTGTCATGCTGCTTGTAGTCAGTCTGTGCAATCTTCTTGCAACAGCTTACCAGGTGGTCCACTGTTTCTTCAGCTTCTTTGCATAGGCGGCACTTACTATCTGTTGCTGTCTTCTCAATTTTGACTTTGTATGCATTTGTCCTTAAGGCTTGGTCTTGTGCAGCCAGAATTAGTCCCTCGGTCTCTTTCTTCAATTTTCCTGCTCTTAGCCATTGCCAGGTCTTGTTATTATCTGCTTTCCCAGCTATTTTTTTAACGTATTGGCCATGTAGTGCTTTGTCTTCCCATGCCTGTATTCTGTTCTTCATTTGGTCTTTCTTGTAGGCCAGTTTGGTCTCTCCAGTAGTCAGTAAGCCTTCCTGATATATTAATTTCAGTGCATCTTCATCATTGTTCTTCAGATATTCTTCCAAAGCCATTTTTTCTTCTTCAACCATCTAATGTACTTGTAACATTCCACGCCCATCTATTTGCCTTGGTAGATAAAGTCTATCAATGTCACTGTGTGGATGAAGGGCATGATTCATTGTCATTATTTTTCTGGTCTGCCTATCCATTGCTTTTAGTTCTGCTTGAGTCCAGTCCACTATTCCAGCTGTGTACCTAATGACTGGGATTGCCCAGGTGTTGATTGCCTTTATGGTATTTCCTCCATTGAGTTTGGACTTTAAGATCTTCTTCACTCTCTTGATGTATTCACCTCTAATCTTTTTCTTGACTTCAGTGTGCTTGATGTTGTCAGCTTGAAGGATACCCAAGTATTTGTAGTACTCTTCCTCATCCAGACTCTTAATGTTATTTTCGTGGGGCATCTTGATTCCTTCAGTTTTCACTATTTTTCCTTGTTTGATAGTAAGTGTGGCACATTTGTCCAAGCCAAACTCCATTACAATATCTTGGCTATATATACAGACAGTGTTGAGCAGCGATTATATTTCAGATGATGTTTTTCCATACAGCTTCAGATCATCCATGTAAAGGAGGTGGGGTAGTCTGGCAGATGTTTTTGATGTTTGATAGCCATGTCCTGAATTATTCAGTATTGTTGTTGTTGTTGTTGTTGTTATTATTATTATTATTCATGGATAATCTCAGTTTCCTTAATTTTATGGTGCAATTTGTAAATTGTACATAATATGGAAAAGTGGTGTTTAAAACAAGAAAATATATTGTAGCAAAAAGAAAAGAAATGGCATAAATCTAAATGCATGTAGTTCTTGTTCAATGACTATTCATTCCATGACCATTCGAACTTGCAACGTACTGAACAAGTAATACTTACGACCAGTCCTTGAAGTTCCAAGTGTCTCAGCATCCATGAAGTCACATGATCTTGATGCAGGTACTTGGTGCCCAGCTCATAATTTTGATATCATAGTGTCCCACTGCCACATGGTCACAATTACCCACTTTGCTGGCTTCCTACATGCAAAGTCAATGGAGAAGCCAGCAGGTGGTTGTAAATGGTGACCATGTAATTTCTTCACTTAACAGGAGTGCAGGATACTCTTAAAAACAGCAACTAGGGAGTGCAGGAATTGATGTTGCTAAGAGATGTGGCCATGTGACATCACTCTTTATGATCACATTGCTTGGTGATGAAAATTTGAGTCCAATTGCCATTACTCTGTACACATAATTGAAAGACTGAGTGAAATTGAACATGTCAAAGTCACTATATTTTTGTAGTTGGGTAAAAGCATTTTCCCCATTTTTTAAAAAGATAATTTCAGTATTTTAAACTGTTTAAACAATCTATTGTTTAATGTGTGTTTGTGTGAGAGAGAGTTATTTCAATTGCTTAATTATTAATGATAGCTTTATTGCTCTTCTTGTGTTGCTATTGCTATCTATTTTGAACTGCTCTAATAAGTGGAACAACAGGATATAAATTATTCACATAGGTAATAAATAAAGATGGACCAATGGACTAACTGAATATGACAGTTTTAGATTTTCAGGCATGAATAAAGTCATCTAATGGTTTTGAGGGAACCAATGTTCTATGATCCCAATCTGGATCTGAGTAGGGCAAAATTAGTCCAAACTAAATAAAACGTCATATAGTGCTAAATAAAACTGTATTGCAAATACATTTAACAATCTGCAGAAATGCTCTGGCTTTTGATTGAACTGTGGTGTATCATCAAATCAGCATAGACTTTTTATTGAGCACATAAGATATTCTCCAGGAAGACCTGCCCAACCTGGTCTTTTACATCTTGTAAAGGTACATCAATTGCCACTGTAACTAAGCCCATCTACTTCACTGCTAGTTACCTTCTTAGTTTATTTCATTCCAGCTTTCCCAAAACTGTACACTTCTCCAGAGATATAGACATGTAGTGTCTGAGGTATCATAATTTGAATTTGGTCAAGAAATTTGGAATAATTTGCTTGATATCCATTTGCTTATTTATTTATTTGGCTACCATGCAATCTCAGGAATCTTTTCCAATATCAAAGTTCAAAATATTCATACTCTTTCTATCCTGCATCTTTAAAGTCTATCATTGGTTTATAAATTATAAAATGTAATATAAAGATAACAAAACCAGCTGATTAGAATATAGATTTGATGATGGCATTATAAAAGTCCTGAAAAGGAAACCACAGTCAAACAATTTCCTCAAAGACTAAAAATCATGAAATTAGAGAATTCATTTCTAACAGAACAAATGTCTCTGAAGGAAATCCTGTAACTTGAACAGACATAATCTTTTTGTGGAAATTATTCTTCTACAAATAAATTAATACATTGTTTATATGTTTATTTAAGTACTAGATGCCCTACTGAATCATCAGTTCAGAGGTATTTCCTTACCTAAACAGATAAACATAACGATTACAAGTGTAGCAAAAAAGCAGAGAAAGTGGGAATGACTTCCAACTTTCTGCTGTCTTCCCCAGTGAGTTTCTTTGTAGGAGACTGATAGGGAGCATTAGAAATCTTTCATTTCCCTCCCCCCGTATCATCCTCCCTCCCTGCCTCCCTCCCTCCCTCCCTGCCTCCCTCCCTCCCTCCCTGCCTCCCTCCCTCCCTTCCTTCCTTCCTGGAAGCTCCCTTCCCTCCTTCCCTCCATCTTTTCCTTCCTTTTTTCTCTCCCTCTCTCAAATTTCTGCCAGCTTCCCCATTTATTTTGCTTATGGGAAGCTTGCAGGGAGAAAGTCAGTGGAGAAGCCAGTAGGAATTTGCAAGCCCAGTGACTGCTGCTGGATGGGGACAAAGAAAGTGATGCCAGGAGTATGGGTCAGGAATAGCATGTGAGGGTTCATGAGTGGTGCCATGGGGATTGAGAAGGATATGTGGGTATGCTTCTGATTCTTTGGGTGAATCAATGTAGTGGGAAGTATTTGCATTAATACAAGATTTCAGTAGATTCGGTTCCATTAAGAGGGATAGGACTAGCTCTTTTTGTGACTTCATTTGTTGAAGACAGAAGTTGGAGAAGTAATCTGGAGGGCTTATATCAGTGATATAAGATATGGCAATTTTACTGGAAATACTCTCAAAGTGAGTACCTAAAAATATCTGGCTATTATCAAAACAAGCAACAAATGGAAACAAGCTTTTCTACAATAAATCCTATATCACTAAATGCCTGTTTGTCCCAATCCAGTTAACTGAGTAAAAAAATATGTGTTTATGTAGAAATAACAATTGGTTTGGGAGTGCTCAAGAGAGAAATATAACTGGGTCAATATCCAATGAAATTTTTAGACTGAAGCAATCTAAACAATGTTCTCTTTCCCCACATAATTTCTGCAACACCATCTTTTCTTCTGTCCCTAATGCTCACAGCAGACTTTGATAACACACTGGCAGAGAAAAAGAAATCCCTGAAACTCTTTTTTGTTCCCTCATTTACAGCAACTGCAGAATACAGCTATTAGAGTAGATAGTGCTGGATATGTTAGGAAGACTCTTTGGTAATATAGTTATCTTTATTCTTAGTGTGGAAACTAATGTGCATAATATCGGGAGTCAGGTGTGAAGCCTGTGACTGTACCTAATCAGTCTCTATATATGTTATTGTCATTCAAATTCATAAAAATCAAAGGTCGTAAAGCAGGCTTAACGACTATTTTTGTCCAAAGCCATATTTCCTTGGAAGTAATTCGTAATTTGCAACATGTCAGTAAAAGATTAGAAGAAATAGGAGCACAAGCAGATAGACCTACAATTCTCCCATTGTCTTTCTCCAATGTTCTCTTTTTCTAACACTTTTTTTTCTTCTGTTCCCCTCCCTCTGCCTATAATAGACCATGACCAATTACTCTTTCCGGAGCTCTGAACTGCTTGTTAGGAAAGGCAGAGAAACACATGTCCACTTCTGTTTTAAGGACAGGCAGCAATTTTTATCCAAGCATGAAACAACCACGCACATCCATTCTCTTATATATCTGATTTCACTTTGAGTCTTTAAATTGAACCAATCATTAACATTTAATTTCACTGAGATTTAGCACTCTCTTTTCAGTAAACTACTTTAAAATTAGATCAATAAATTATGGGTCATAGGCTGTGGTTTTGCCAATGACAATGACTTCTACCTGGCTTTGTTCACCACTAATTTTATAGTCTATTTTTTTTATCTGTACTACTCTGCAAAATTTTCATAGAATCCAATAATATGCATACTTTATATCCAAAGAAAGTCACTGCTTTAAATTTCCTATTCCTTAATGCTGACACTAGCACAATAATTACTGTCTAAGCTATAGTGATAGGAGGTCAGGTGGAAGAATGAATTCTTATATTGTTTCATCAGATTAATGCTGGGTCAGAAATTCAACTAACTGATTTATGACATTAAGTAGTGCAGGTGAAAAAAAATATTATGACTCCCTCCCTCCTGATCCCACCTCTGTCATTATTGTAATGATGTACCAAACAATTGTTTAAATGAATTTTAAAAAGTGTTATTCATGTAACATTGATATAATAGTAAAATGTCACATTTCTGGAAATCTCAGGCAAACTCATATAGGGACTGTGTATCATCTCCTCAGCTTGATATATGGAACCACAGTAAAAAAGAGTGTATAATATAAAATCCTTTATGATGTAAAAGTATCCAATCAAGAAATCCAATGATAGGACTTCCGGTTAGGCATCGTGGCATAACGGGGCTATATCTTCCACATTCAATTTCACCCCACTGAGGACCCTAAAAAGGGTCAGAAGTTGCCCCGGAGAGGTGATGAAGAATGAGGGGACTGTCATTGATCATGGAGGGGCAGTGGCCCTGCTGCTGGATCAGAGGAAGCCCTCCAAACTGGCAGGGGAAAGACTGGCTGTATTTGTGTGGCCAGTCAGAAGCTGCTGACAATCGAAGATAAGCACTAACTAGCAACGTGGATGGAACTGGGTGAGATGTTATCTTCTTTTTATGACCATAACACTATTTTCCTGGAAAAAAGAATGCCCAAAGCAAAGAACCCTCCATGATGAGAGAGGGAAGGGAAGTTTTTGCCCCATTCCCTCAGGAAAAGAAAAGCAGCAAATTAATTGCTTTGGGGGAAATAGAGGAAACTACAAGATCTATTTGGAATAGAGATATATAGCTTTGAAATTTGGGGACTAAAAGTATCTTTGAGACTTTTTTTAGAAAAGATATTTGAAAGTCTGTAAAATAGGCTTGGAATTGGAAATCTGGAAGACGGTGCCAATGACATCTAGTGGTGAATCACTGCACTACAATTTATTATATTTAAAGGAAACTTGGCTTGAAGCCTGGATTTAGATAAGGCTATTTGTTGTTCCTGTAAACTTTCACTTTTGCAGACTGCAGCTGGGAAAAGCGAAAAAAAAATCTCTTGGGCTGCTTATTTGTGTTGGGGATGTTACTGGACTATAAAGAGTAGATACGAAAACAAAATAGGTGTTTCATAATGGTAAAAAAAATGGTAAAAAACCATCTTTAATACTTGTCTTTGAAGCCCCCAGCTTGATATACCAACAAGAAAATGTTAATGAATCTCAGAAAGAAATTCTTTTTATGTTGAAATCAATCCAAGAGACAATTGCTTTATTTCAGCATGAGACACAAATGAGATAAATGAACAAGTTTCTAACTTAAAGTTACAAATCCAGACAATGACTACAAAGAAGGAACTAATAACCCAGAAAACAGAAGGAAAATTAGAAGAAATGGATCCAAAGATAGAGGACCTAAAGGAAGGAATTAATAGGCAGAGACAAATGAAAAATTAGAAGATGCAGTGATAACAACGGAAATGGAAAAGATATCTTACTTGTCCAGATCTCAGAACACATTTGAGGATAAGGAAGAAGAGCTGATTGAATGATGATGAAGCTATTAGGAGAAATGTTGAATATTGACAAACAAGGAAAGAAAAACTGAAGGAGAAGGATGGTGGCTCTTTAATGAATATAAATGGGCTGAGCATTGTTCCAAAAACACTTCAATCAAATTCTTTTCCTCATTCCAAATAATATATACAAAAACAGAGGA